TTTTTTAATTAAGCGTGCTAAACTGATTATGTTATAACATGCTATAATTGATTATGCTATAATTGATTTTCAATTACAATTGTTGATAGAATCCACGAGGGAGGCTAAAGAAAAATTCAGGACCACAATCAACCCAACATGAAGTTAATCAGACTGGGAGTCAGAATCCTGCTCCAACTACTCAAAAGAGAAAGAAACTACCTGTTAGAACAGAGATACCCACACAAGATGCCACTTTGATATAAATAAAAAGAATGAGCCTTGCTAAATCATATAAAAAATTATTTATGTTGTCAGTCCTGTTTCTTTTATTTTCTTTATTCAATTAACTTGTACACATGTAATTGGCTAGTAAATGATATCGTATTTTACACTCTGAGAAGACATGGAATACTTATGTGAATGTATGTCTTTAAGAGTTATTGTGTGGTTCATATTAATGATAAAATAGTTATAGTTGTGACTCTTGCAGTTGTCTTTATCTTATGTGAAAACTATGTGAGGCCGTGATGGTATTTTGTTCTTTCTCTATTTTCTTCTCTATATGTGACTCTTGAAGTTGTCTTCTGAAAGAAGGGTGCATCTCATTCATGAAAAGGGTGCAAGTGAGTCAAGAAGCAAAACAAGTGGGTGATGAGAAAGTGGGTCAACAACAAGTAGGAAAAGAAAAAGAGTTGAAAGTAGTAATTCAAGACGGAAAGCAAGTGAACAAGTTTTGGGCACTCAAGTGAGTGCCGCACATAAAGGATAATTGTCTAAGTATTTGTCTGTTTGATTGTCTATGTATATGGATTAAAGGATGTTAGTATCGTTACTCAAAGGATTCCCAACTTGGGGACTACTGCAGATACCCAGACGGGAGAACAACAGATGTCAGGATTGTGTTGTGGTGCTCTTGTGTGTTTTGGGGTTTTGGTTATGAAGATGATTTAAGAACGGTATTAAACACTTTGTTTAGGGTATTTTGTTGTTTATAATGATGTAAAACATTATTTAGCTTGCATTGTGATGATGAAATGAACATCATATCATGATATGGGACAACAATTGGTCTTTTGGAGTGCCTTCTTTATTGTAATTTTGTTTGTTCAATTTAGGTGGATCTAAAAGTTATAAAAGCATTCAACAAAAACATGACATAACATTTTCAATCTAATAATCAACACCAACAAAAAAGATCGCAGCAAAATACAAACTTACCTATTCAAGCTAATCAGTAGAACTACTGTCAAGACATTGTTACATTACACATAATCTATTTGTTCAAGCAAAAGTAATTAAAACATACTGCTTACATTACACGTAACCATTAGTTCAAGCAAAACTGTTCAAAATCTATTGCCAAAACAAAATTACATTACACCTCATTTCAACATTTTTTCAGAGGATTACAGCTTCAAATCATCATCTTCATTCTCCGTTCCTTTCCATCCTGACAAAACCAACCCATAACAACTAAAAGAGCAGCTACAACCAAGCAAAAAATTAGGACATTCATCTTCTTTTCTAAGTTTTGCAATTGAGTATCTACTGTGTTCTCAAGGGTCAACATGAGTTCTACATTTTGAGCTACAACTCCAAGCTCATCCAGCTTGCTCTGGAGTTCCTCCATTATGTCGAAGTTTCTTCTTTCACAACTCATGTATGCATTTTCTCCATGGTCAGCTTGCACCTTAGTTGTTCCTCTAAATCGTCTTTGTCTGGCTTTATTCTTAAAAAAACATGACTTCTGGAACTCGAGCAATGCCAGATCAATCCAATAAAAAAAACTGCGATCATCTAGCTGCTACAAGAAAAATATTGAAAATTGTAACACAAATCCCTTCAATTGAGCAACAAATAAAAAAAAATGAAATACTCCATCAACACCACATATTTACCTTTCTAAGTCAACACATATAGAACCCTCTACATGGATTATCGATAATAATCGATGTCAGGATGTCTGCCTCCTTACCATGGCGACATTCCTTTAAGCCGTGAACCTTTGAACTGCCACCGCTCAGAAAACTTTGGCTTGTGTGGGAAGAGAATGACTTTTTCAGAGGTATGAGGATGAACAACTCAATTAGGTTTGTAATTGGGATGAGAAGCTCTGCAGTTGGGGTGAGAAGCTCTGCAATTGGGGCGATTAGGATTTATATTTAGGGAAGAAATGATTATGGCTCACTTAAATGCGTGTATATTTGTGTGCGACAATGTGACATCCTCGTCACCGAAGCGCAAGGACGCGTGAGATCGTCTGCCCGGACACGTAGAGACGGAACTCGTTGCCGAACAATTTCGGGTTCAGGTTGTAATTTATAAAAAAAAATATTGTGATTCGTTTGCAATTACCTTAAAGTTTGGTTTAAATTGCAAAAAGCTTTAAAGGTCATGGTTTATTTGTAATTAAGCATTTTTAAAAATCATGTTCAGATCAATATTTAATTAACTTGGATTAGTATAAAAGGTTCAGCTTCGACATTTGTGGCGGAGTTTCGTCATCGAGTTACTGTCTTCTTCTCTTTGAACACACACACACACACACACACACACACACACACACACACACACACACACACACAAACTGCACTCACATCCCACATTTTTATGCTCTCTGGCCCCTTTACTTGTATGCGCAACGAAAATAAACGATGGCTCGCATAATCTCGATACCCCACAACAATTTCTTCAGTTTTTCATGTGGGGTAAACATTTGGGAACCCTCAACATTCAGAACTTATGCCGAGCATCAGCCTTCGAAGGGGTTTCAATTGAAGCAAAACTTGAAGTTTGGAGATTGTTGCAGCATAAAGGAGGCGGAAAGAGAGGATGGAGCGCGGACTAAAGAGATACTGCTTGAGCCGAAAGTTAAGTGTCAGTTGATGGAAAACGAGAGCAAAGGAGAGGGTTTCGATTTTGATTGGCCGCCATGGAATAATTTTCCTCAAGGTTATGAGCTCTCTGGTCGGACGTCGATCGTCTTTGTTATCTGCAACATGGATAAGGTAACAAAAATTGGCCTTTTCTTGTAATCAAGACGAACCGGAAAATCAGGCGTAAAATTTAAATTTTCCCAGTAGTTACTTATTAGCAGTTTGTGTTGATTATGAAAATTGGATGAAGTTGATCTGCTGCTTAAATTTCTCATTTTATTCCCTTCTTTGAAAACATCGTGGCAACTTGAATCATCATAGAGCAGTTTTGTCTGTTGTTCTTATTCATCCTGTTTCATCATAAATACATCTATTAGTGTTATGGTTTTAATTAATTTGCAATTTCATCTCTTGTGTCTAGTGGTGCCTTAGTTGTATCATTTCTCTTTGTGATTTGCTTGTAACTGTGTCATGTCGTGTCATATCACTCAATGCTAGCTGTAGATTAATACTTGCGAAAGTTCAAGAAAGCATGTAAATTCATTTCTGAATCACAGCACAACTGTACTTAGTGCGCAATATAAGTTAATGAATGAAAGGTATATATGTGCGTTTAATGAAATGTGGTGAAATACGATATATTATACATCTCTTCCTGTACTGCTTATTATGTGGGTAGCTGTTATTAGCCTTTTTGTTAATCTGGATATGAGTCTTATTCACTTACCATACAGGAATCGTGTATGTCTTCTAATTTATCAATGAGTTAAAACAGTATGTTTAATATGGAGTTAAAGCAACTTGTTGCCTGGGATTATCTCTTCTTGTATTTATATGAATGCCCTAAACTATAATTTTGGGGTCTGAAGCTGAATGTGATCTAATTTTCCTGCATATACATAGGTGAAATTTAGTATTTCTAGAATTCCAATGTCACATCAATCCGGGTGGAATGCTTCTGTGGCTGGATTAGTTCAATCCAATTTCCTCTGTGGTTACATACATAGCCTGTTATCTGGTGGTTGGATTGTGAAATCTTTTGGTGGGAGGTTTGTTTCTTTGGCCTCACTTCCTGATTGCATCATCAAAGATTAGTATATGGATCTGCCAAGTTATTTTTTGTTTCATGAGTTTATAAACAAGATATATTAGGAGTGCTCTGTGCTATACGGAAAACAGCTTTCCTAATTTGAGTAGACTATGCTTTTAATCTATCTTTATCTTTTGTACTATTGATGGTTTTGATTAGAGTCCAAAATCTTGTCACTAAAGACTGGTGGTCAAAGGTTCTTTTTTTTTTTTATTTGTTTTTATAAATTATTTTCTTTTGTTATTCTTGTCAAATTATAGTGAAATATGAGGTAGTTAGGTTGTTTCAGATATTTGGATATGGATTGTAGTTTTAGCTGCATGCCCTTGTTGTCTTCGCCTTCAAATGATAGCTTTCAACCATGAGCTAGAGAATATTGTAGTACTTACGTTTCTCAGCGTCGATTATTTTCAGAGGTAAAGAATGTAGAAGTAACTGTGTCTTTCCCCCATTTATTTTACACAATATTTTAGGTTCTCATTATTTCAGTTCGTTGAAGAAGACCGACGCCCATTTGGAGCTGCTTATCGATCATGTATGTTCTTTCTGGCACTATCTTATGTACCGAATTCTGCTCAACTGTCATTAGATTTTTTACTTGTCTTTTAGTTATGAGGCTGTGATCTTTTTGTAAATGTTATTACAATGCCTAATGCTCACACCATTAATTATTACTAAATCTGAGGCAGTCATTTGGTTTTTGTTTAGTTAATCACTTGGGCAAAATTATTTCTAAAGAACATGAAGTTCATAATAGCTTAGGCTAAAATTCCTCGAAGTCCAGTTCATTTCTCTTTATGGTTATGAGGTATAGACTAAAACTCCGAAATCATTTAATTAGAGACAACACGATTCTTCACTTTCAGATTTCAGTTTAATGATCTGCTTACTGCTTTCTACTCCATGAGCAACCAGTATAGAATTAATCTTCTGCCAGAAAGTTCTATACTAATTGATTTTTGTCAACATTTATGGAGGATGCCAAATTTTATATCATTAAGAGAAAAGATCCATATTGGTGAAATTACCTAATCAGGTTTTGATTCAAGATTAACTGGTTAATTCCCATACATGGAGTGAGATTTTACCCTCAAGATTGAGCCCATGTCATAGTTGTGGCCCATAATAAACTCTAATGTTGATGATGGCTAAGGAGAGAATATAATAGGATGGCTAATGGATCATCTTTTAAGAACCTAAAATAGACTTTTGTTATAGGCTAAATAATTTTTACTAGATACTTGCCGAAATTTAATGAAGCTCAGATGGAAAAGAGCTTACCAAATGTTGTAAATTAGTTGAGGTTCCGTTTGAATTGAGGAATGTGAAAGGGAATCCGAAATCCTTTGTTTAGCCGAAAAACTTGATTTGCTAAAAACTCAAATTGGCGTATTTCGAATCCATCCTCAGAGATTATAGTTTTGCAGGGACATAGATCATGGATAGTAGCAAAGATGAAACTAAAGAGAATATTAGGCAGTTCTATTGATGCATAGATTGGATTGGCTTGATTCATGGATGATGGATCTTTGATTGACATATTTATTTAACTTTCCAACGATAAACCTATAAAAAATTATTACACCTAACTTAGGACAAATATGGAGTGAGTAATTCTATTAAACTTTTCTATTAAACTTAGGACAAATAAGGGACCAAGATCTTTAATCTTGTCAGTGATGATTCTATTGTGATTCTTGTTAAAAAATCTCTTATGAAACAAGAAGATAATTATTCTTCATTTTCTATTAACTTGATACTCCACGTTCTCAATGTTACACATATATGACATGCGCCTTCTAGTCATCCCTAAAGGGAGCATACATCTCGAGTTTTAGATGTAGGGTAATGCTGATGAAGTCAAGGGTTGAAGGACAAAATTGAAAAATTGAAAATATATAATATCTGGAAGTTAAAGGAACTGGAATATAATAAAGCATCTATAGGCAAGCGTGCCATGCGTGTCATAGATTAGGATTTCTCGCGCCGAAGCAAAATGCTCTTCTATTCTTCTCGTCGAAGATTTAGGAGACATAACCCTACTACTTAAATAGAAATAGATTAATCTTCGGAACCAAAAGCCCAGCCCGTCACTTTATCTAATCCTTAATGACTACTTAAGTAATGTAATGTTGACTCATATGTTATAGGGTCTGGTATAAGTTTGAGATTATATTAGTACAACTACTGTAAGTAGATGAGATATTAACTCCCATATTATATATATATATATATATATATGTATATATATATATATATATACTGGTGCAACTATGATATTCGGTGCCTCCTATTGTTAGTAAAATAACTGTTACATGTGGCACACCATTTTACCATTCTTAACACTTGTTACCATTCTATTGGGTTTCATCTCTAGCCTACCCCAACTTGTTTGGGACTAAAAGGCTTTGTTGTTGTTGTTGTTGTAACACTTGTTGCCTAAGTAGTTAGTACATAGGCATCGTAGAGTACATATGATCTTTTACATTGGATTTGCATTAAGCATAGACACGTGTGTGTATATATGTATTTTTCAGTTTTTCTATGATTTCAACCTTTTATTTTGTGTTCAAACTTATATTGGCCTATTTCCTTTTCAATTGATTTACCAAATTTGCAGTTTGCTCGAAACGCGTGTGTGTTTGACATACTACTTATCATGTCAGGGGATATACACCCACTTCAGGAGCAACGGGCCACACTTAACACCTTGATGACAATGCAAGTTGTTGGTGACAACAAAGGTGGCGGAGTTTTAGATAAACCAATAATAGAAAAAACAACACCGGGGCGTGAATCTGAGTTTGATTTGAGGTATGGATACTTTTAGTTTAATTTGGTACTAGCGCAATCAAGCTTGTTTATTTATTCATTTATTCTACTTTGTCATGTTATAAATATTAGTTTAAAGTACAAAATTTCACAATTTTCTTTGAATAATTCAATAAATAGTTAATTACCTTATTTATTTATTTATTTTGTAAAATTTTGTGTTACAAATATATTTATTTTTCTTTTCATTGAGGTAATTGAAAAAATGGTTCAAAAAAAAGATCTTGTTAGTTTTTCCTTTTGATGCCACTAGGAAGATGCACGTGCTACGCACGTGATATTGTTATTTTTTTTTATTTGAAAATTATTTTTATTAGTAGATTGGTATTTATAAAATAATATAATTTTCTTTCTATTAATTTAACAAATAAAAAAATTGTGCATTTTATGATAAACTTAACATATGGATTGTTTTATACTATTAACCAAACTTTATAATAAATATAAACATTGGATTCAAAATCCAAAATAAAACTATTTGTGAAATTTTAAATTCTAAAGAAATCTCTGTCATCTTTGATTTTGTTATTTATCGACCTCATTTATGCTTATAATTATGATCATTATTATTGCCATCAAAATATAGTTTTCTAATGTGTTACTTATGTGTCACAACTCTTTGAAAAATAACTCAGAATTTTCTATAACTGTCATTTGTGACAATCATTTTTTTTTATTGTTGATCAGTGTTTGGACAAATTAAGTAAAACCTTTATAACTAAAAAAAAAATTCTGTAATAAATTGATATATTTCATTGAATCACACGATTAATATACCATATTGAAAATATTATGCTTTGATTTTTTTTTTTAATGCTTAAAACAGATACTAACGCACATATGAATGCATTTATATCTATTTATATAAAAAAGGGACTAAAGATTTATCTTATATTGTGAGAAACAATTCAGCCTAAAACTTTTATTTTACTAAATATAGGAATTGCAAAATATTTTTAATTTTTCCACCTTTAAAATATGATACATGAATGTAAAAATTAATTATAAATTCAAAATTTGATAACAATTGATAATAATTCCAATCTGATGTTGAAATCAAAATTGAAACACTATCTCTAAAAAGGTGAAATAATGGTTTCTTTTTCTTTTTTTTTTTTTCAAT